TTTTTTTTAAAGCATAAAGTATGTATTAATATTTAATCCCTATGATTTGGAATAACTTGAAACTGCAATTAGATGGCAGAGCCCATCTGCTCCAAGCAGTTGAACAACAGTCTATTAAATAACTAGGAGGGTGAAGAGGGCTGCCAATCACCTTTAGATTTATTCCTTAACAAAGTGTGCACAGGCTCTCAAGAGGGAGATCCAGATGGTGAAGGAAACTCTGCAGGCCATGATTGTGCAGCTTCAGCCAGCAGAGGCTGGAGACTTCCTGTGTGCCAGCTGGTGTCCTGAAAACCCCGGCTGGACAAATGATGGGGGAGGTGGGAAAGGAGACGGTTTCACAGTTTCATAAATCCCAGTTCCCAGAGGGCTGCTTCAGGTAACTGAGCCCTCTCACACACTAAGCTGGACACACCTCTTTGCATTCTGCTTAATGAATTCTCTCTAAGAACTTACAGAGACTGGAGTCTTAAGGTCATTCACCATTGGTAGAGGACTATACTGATTCTTATAGGCTGGCACAGATCAGGAAAACAGGTTTCCATGAAGTATGCATGGTGACTGGAATTGGGGAGGCTACAAATTAATAGGGTGGCTGGTTTTCCTTTAGAATGGGAAATAGAGATGCCTCAAACCTGTTATTAACCATAGTTTCCCTGATCAGGATTAATGATGTTCAAGTATTTCCCTTCCACCACCCCCCTCACCTCTCCCTCAGAGAAAGGAATCCTGACAGACAACTGGTCTCTCCCCCTCCCATTGCATTTTCTTGCTTTGTACCATGCTAAAAATATTTTCTCATAAAAGAGAAATCGAAACAACAGTCAATTTTTCCTCACCTGTGCCTGGGCTGCATTTTCCTGGAGGCACATTATATAAAAGAGATAATTAACCTCAGAATGTTGAGTAGCTTTTCATCTCATTTCTTCTGTGACTTACCGATGACTCACAAGAATTTAATACCATAAACCTAAAATGTGTTTTTTTCTTTTAAAATGACAGCAGCCTCTATTGTGTAAATGCCTAATTATCTTTTACAGAGATGATTTCTTGTTTAGCCCTTTTTTTTTCATGCCTTTGATTGCTTTTACTACATTCTAAAATTCAACTGTAAAGGATATATGCATTGAAGGGATTAGATGATATGTGAGTTGACTTTTACAAAAGTCTCATTTTCTTCCCTGATCTTTTTCACTGATTTGTTGGATAGGAAATGGAAGTGAAAACCCACACATAAATGACACAGTGTTCAATAACAGCTTTTAGCATTACAAGTCCAGTGCTCTTCCTTTTGGCAAAATCAAGATAGTGTTAAACTCTTGATAAAGTATGCAGAAGAGACATATCATACTGACCCAGTTAGGTTATTCTCATCCCCAGTCCTCTAACTGAAACAAAAATGGGACCCCTAATCATTGACTGTTTGGCATATAGCAAGAAGAAATTTCATGCATTGACTATGGCTAAAGACCATAAGCTCCCCCACAAATTTGAGGTCAGACATTGTCCTGAGCTCATACTGGGCCCAATGCCATACTGAAGCAAGAATATTCTGCAAATTGATTTTATTCTGTTTTGGCTTTTAGTAATTGTCCTGCCTTGATTTGAACCTATTAGCACATGAAAAGACTTCCATTCTAATCCAGAAAAATGCCTTTACTTATATTAACAATCAGCTTCTGAGAATAGAAGGCAAAGAGAAAGCATAATGTCTGAATTTGATGATTTCTGTTCATCCTCCTCCTCCTTCTAGGGTAGCTAGGTGCCACAGTGGATAAAGCACTAGGCCTGGAGTAAGGAAGACCTGAATTCAAATCTGGCCTCAGGCACTTACTACCTATGTGATACTAGGCAGTCACTTAACCCTCAGTCCCTTCATCTGTAAAATGAGCTGGAGAAGGAAATGGCAAACCACTCCAGTATCTTTGCCAAGAAAACCCCAAACAGAGTCACAAAGTGTCAGAAATGTTTGAACAACAAAAGCTCCTCCCCCCCCACCAGCAGAAAATAATTAGCATTTAAAATTTAGTCATATGTGTATACCTTTTTTGTGGAAAGTCATTTTTAATAATTAAGTGAAATCATTTGTTTTATTGAGCATTTGGGTTATTCCTATTCAGTGAAAGGGCCCTACTGGAATTATTTACTAATAGATTTATAAAATATTATGACTTTTGGCCTGGTTTTTCATTGAAAGTAAAGAAACCTCAAAAAGAGTTAGGATTTATATTCCCCATCTTTCCAAATATGAATTCTTTATTTGGATAACTAAAACAAACTTATCAAAAAACTGATTGTACAAAATGAAATTAGACTTCTCTGTATGGGTACTGACAAAATTAGATGTCTGTGTGCTCTGAGTCTATAAATCATTGAGAAAAAAATTAATGTACTTCATTAAGTACAATTAGGATGAAGTTGAAAATACATATTAGATTATCCAAGTCACATGGAACTTCACTGTGAGTCTATGATTCAGTTTAACTCTCTCTCTTTGTCTAATGCCTACTGTCATCTTCCTCAAAACCATGGACCAGCTTTTAAGAATATCTTTAAGTCTAGAGGTACCTCAAAGCTGATTCCATCATATATTTTATATTACATCTCATCTGGGTTTGATATTTGACTTGTTTAAGAGCCCCTATGTAAATCCATTTCCCTTTTAAACAGCCAGCATCCCTTAGGTCACATTTCCCAAGCTACTCTGTACCTGATGGGTTCAAGAGTCTGGCAGGTTTAAAAACACCTCCCTTACCTCTTTGATCCTGATGGGCTCAGGAACACGTGTTTCTGGGCTTTACCATGAAGACAGCTTATAGCGGAGCAACTGGAAAACAGCCCATAAACAGGTAGAACTCAATCTGAAAGTTAAAAGAAGTTTCTATGGTATCAACCACAAGCCAAAGTAAATGCTATTAAGTACTCATGTGTAGTGATACAAAGAGTGAACACGCTACATTGTCTCCCATAAGTAGAGGACACTGAAAACTTGGGGTTTTGCATGGCACACCTCATATACCTGCAGCTATTTGGGGGTCAGTGTTATAAATAAGTTATAGGTTCCAAGTTTTTAGGCCTGTTCCCACCACCTTCTCTCCAAATGACATTACTACATTGATCATTTCTGGAATCCCCCTACTATGTTATATTGGAAACTGCTCTCTCCAAAGAAGGGATCTGACTTTTCCTTCTCAGGATGTATAAAATGGCATTAGCAACCCCAGGGGATATGGGTGTTTCTCTCATCCAAATAAGGTACAGAGAATGAGAAGATGTTGACCCTGGCCTTAGAATCACAGATCAAAATCTTAAGCAGATGGGGCTTCAGAAGTCTAGATCTATTCTTTCATTTTACAGATGAAGGGTACTGGGGTCTAGGGAACTTAAATGACTTGCTCAACGCCACACAGTTGGGAGGATTGTAGCCCAGGTTCTTTGATTTTGGGATATGAGGGAGGTTTTCCATTGGACCTTGAGTCAGAGGACCAGATTTTGAGCTATTTGAAAAACTATCTCATAGAAATAGGGCTTGATGTGTGTATTATTTGGCCCAGAGGGGCAGTGCCAGGAGCAGTGGATAGAAGTTGCAAAAAGGTAAATTCAGCCTTAATATTAAGAAATTTCTGAGCTATCCATAAGCAGAATTATTCTCCCTTGTTAGAAATCTTCAAGCAGAGGCTTGATATCCGTTTGGGCATATGCATAGTAATAGGGATTCTTTCTCAGGTTTGGGTTGGGCTGGGATGGCCACTTCAATCCTTTTCCAACTCTAAAATGTTAGGTGGCATAGTGGATAGAACACTGCAGCTAGAATTAGAAAGACAAGTTGTTAAGGCTAGCTGTGTGACCCTGGGCAAGTCATTTAATCTCTGTCTTATTTTACTCTTCTGAAAAATGAGGATAATAATAGCACCTACCTCTGAGTGTTGTTATAAGGATAAATGAAATAATATTTGTAAAGTACTTTGGAAACCTAAATGTGCTATATAAATGATGGCTATTGTTATTAACATGAGTCTTTGTGCTCTGGATCTGTTATTTTCTATTAGTGTGATTTTCATATCTCTTCACATCTTTGATTTCAGTTTACTTATCTATAAAATAAAGGGTTTGGGCTACATGATCATTAAGGTCCCCCACTTGCTCTATATCCCATGATCCTATTAGATCCACAGCCTTGGATAATGTAACCTGCACATGAAGGAGGTACATATTGACCACACACCACCTACTGAATCTCCTTATCAAGAGGAGACAGAACAAAATATACAAGTCCCCTTCTTGGAAGGGTGCCAGTAACATCCTCTAGGACCTGGAGTCTAGGTACATGCAGTGACGAAACCAAGTCCTTTTATGGAAAAACAAACCTTGTCCTATACTAGTCAACCTTCAACATTCACAATCTTGATGGCATTTTCCAATAAAGGGGTATGTATGAGCATTATGATCTCAGCTCTATAGTGAAGAGCAAATCCACTATGCTTATCTGCTAATAATTACATGCCTGTGTATTTTTAATAATTGTGCTTTTTTAAATTATTCACATTTGATTTGGTCTGTGAATTTTTTTTATAATTTCTTATTCCATTAAGTTGACTTATTAATCAAATGAAATAAAAACTGATGTGAGAACTTGGTGTACTGTAATTTTTTGGTTTTCTTGATTGCAGATGCTCTTAAAGGTTGTATATTTTTCATGTATTTGTCATCTAGGGGATTGAAATAATACTCTTCTCTTTAGCATGAAAATATTTTCAACAAAACAATATTTTTCAAAAATCCATTTTTGCTTATATATGGTAGTGATCTAATTAATTAGTTTAAGATGTATAATAACATGAGGGATAGAATTCAGGAAGTGTATTATAGGAAAAGAAGTGCCTTCTGCAGAAGGCTGTTGCTGGTCTCCCTCTTACCCCCGGCTATCCCGCTGAGATTGCCATCTATCTTGTACGCAGAGTTATTGGCATATTGTTTCCTCCGTTAAAATGTGAGCTCCTGGAAGGCATGATCCTTGTTTTTGCTTTTCTTTGTATTCCCAGGATTTACTGTAGTGCCTAGGAGCATAGTGAACACTTAATAAATGCTTTTTGACTGGTTGACTGAAAACAAGAGATGATAGATAGATCACCCAAGCGTTCCACCAAAATGACAAAATGTCAAGAGATTTAGACAAAGGTCTCCACTGCATAGGGCAGATTCTCTCTGGAGATATAATGTGAGGACATGGATAAGAATTACTTGGGATGGAAAGGCATAATTGAGTTAGAGTCCACACCTATGCAGGGAGTATCCATGTTAATGAAATGATGGATCTATTGAAGCATATAATTCGTCTAAAAAAGTTTGGCTCAGAAACTCTTATGCAAGATAATATGTTGTCCACATAATACCTGCAAATCCTCTTTCATAGTGGTAGATTATATGATAGCTTCTAAATAACTCATTCATTCTCATGAATTAGTAATTTTTGGGTAATTATTTATAGAGAAGTAATAGGTAATTATCTGCCCCCGGGAAAACATAGGCCTGCCCATTGTAATGGCAATCTAAAGAGATACTTGATATTAGCAAGTAAAAATTATTTTCCTTATAAATTGAAGAACTAAAAAATGAATAGAAGCATTAGGTAGCTGCCCAACAAGTAGCTGAAAAATTTCAGTGTTCAAACTAAAGACCCCTTGATTGTCAGCTTATGCTATAAATCATTAGGCTATCTAGAATTAGAGTTTTATTTGATGCAGTGATTTATTTAAAATCCAACTTAGATTTTGTAAGGAAATAGAGTCAGTGACCATGCCCTTAATCCCTTAATTGTAATATCATTGATTGTACATGGATTAGCTGAAAAGATATCGTGATGTTGCACATCAATGACCAGTGTGGTCAGACTGATGAAATCAGTTGTGTCAAAACTGGGTTATTTCTGCCCTTAACATATGCTAAATGTTTAAATGACATTACTTTTTATTTTCTTTCATTTTCTGTTCTGAATTATCTCCCTCCCACCTCCCCCTTATAAGAGGATTAAAGCATTTAAGGTTTGCAAAGCACTTTGCAAGAAAAACAAAACCCATTACAAATCTACATACATACATATATATATATATATATATATATACATATATATTTATGTATACACACACATAAGCAAAACAAATTCCTGCATTAGCCATGTCCAAAAAAAAAAAGGAAGAGAAAGAAAGAAAAAGAAGGAAAGAGATAGGAAGGAAGGAGGCAAGAAAGGAAGATAAAACAAGTTTCAACTTGTATTTCAAGTCTATTACCTCTATATTTGGAGAGAGAGTAGGATGGGTAGTAAACATGGGAGATATTGGTGCAGGACCACCCAGCATGGTGTGCCCTCATCAAAGAAGATACTGTATTCTATAAGCAAAGCAGAATTACAACACCATAAAGTAAACGTGAGATGTGCAAATCTAGTGATATCTCCATCCCTAAATTTCAAACAGACTATTTGTGTTCAACCTATAGTAGGTCCTTCGGAGCTCATAGACTGATCAGCCACAGTTGAATACATTGTACCTTGACCCTAACATCCTGATGTCATTGATCCTCTTTGAGTATGAAGCACAAACAACAACAATAGGGTTGATAGTAGGTTTCGTCCTGAGTCCTTTGGATCTGTGATTGGTCTTTGTGACAATCAGAGTTCCTAAGTCTTTTAAAGTTGTTTGCAATATTTTTTGTTATTGTATAGATTATTCTCCTGGTTCTGCTCATTTCACTTTGGATCAGATTACACAAATCTTTCCAGGTTTTTTTGGGAATCATCCCC